CATTTTTTTTTATTTTAGGTATGGACGACTCCATCATAATGGAAATAGTGGAAGTAGAGAACAGCGACTCTCAAAAAGGTAAATTTAATATATTTTTTTACAACTAGTACAGGCAAACAAGTTACCTGATGGTAAGTGCACCCGTCTCCTAAACCATTCACTGTCCCACTAGAACTATGTTACTCATCCTGAGACTTAAGGTGTTATGTCTCATGTGCCTGTAATTTCACTGGCTAACTTGCCTTTAAACTGATACACAGAAGTACGAACATTACTGTCTGGCGGAAAATATTATATTCTATCTGTTTTACCTTATTTTGTAGTGTAACCATTAGTATTATTATACCATAACAATTTTATGTTTACAGAAAATAAATGGGATAAATGGCATCCTAAAGCACTTAAAACGAGAGTCTCAAATGTCTTAAAACCAGACATTGTAACTAAATCCAGCGTAACCTCCAAACTGGATAAATTAAGTTCAGCTCGATTGGAGTTGGTGCAGTTACAAATGGACAGCACTAGAAAGCAGCAAATTTTCATGGAAGAAGAACATAAACTGAAAATGGCACATTTGGCAAATGATGAAAGAAGAAAAGAAGAGCTCCATGCCTTACTAATGGAAAAAATTAGATGTGGCCCAGTACCGAGCGGCATGATTTAAGGTGTTTTTGTTATTGTGCTAAATGTTGCTTATAATTTGTGATTTATATTATGCATAAGGTACTGTATAACCATAGGTATTAAGTTTGTTTTATAAATAAATAAAGACTTGTTTTTCATTTTGTAAATTAGATATTATCCATAAGTAGGTAAAGGTAATTTTAATTAAAAATTTATACGTTAGGTAATTTTTAGTTCTTGTTATTTTATTTTCTATATATTTTAATACTGTAAATAAAAAGTATAATGTAATAAAAATATTTTTATTAAAAGTTACAGTCAACTGGAAAGCCTAATTGAACTTACTACTATTATAAAATTAAAGAATTGAAATAACTTAACATTAAATTTCTAGTATGCAGCCTTTCTACACTTGTAGGATTTGCTATGAATGGTGGAAATATTGGCTGTGTTGGAACAAGAACTTCTGAGTCCAATGGTGGTTCCACTTCATTTTTTGTCCTTGCCAAGTTGTGCAATACAGCACAAGCAACAATTACATCTTGTGCAAGTGGTAGCTTACACCTTAATCCAATACTTAGAACTGGAAAGCGTCTTTTCCACACTCCAAAACATCTTTCAATGACATTTCGTGTTCGTATTTGTGACTCATTATATAAACTCTGAGCCGGTGTGTCTGGGTTTTGAAAGGGAATCAATAGGTAATTGGTTTGTTCATAACCACTGTCTCCAAGTATTATTCCATTTCCAAATGCATTATTCTCACAGTGGAATTTTGCACATGAATTTGAAAATATCATGCAATCATGGGTTGATCCAGGCCAACGTGCAACTATATCTTGGAACATCAACTCTGCTGAACACATTGCTTGCACATTAAAGGAAAAAAAACCCTTTCTGTTCCTAAATTCCTCTGCTGTGTTACCACCAGGTGATTGAATCCTAATGTGGGTGCAATCTATAGCTGATATAATTCTAGGAAATCTGGCTATTTTATAAAATTCTTCCTGAGTCCTTCTTATATCTTCATCGCTTCTTGGTAACTGTATAAAGGTTTGTCTTAAAGACGCTATAGCACCTGTGACTTTTTTGATGATACGGCATATAGTGGAGTTATGAATGCCACCAAAATCACCAATAGTGATGTAGAAGCTCCCAGTGGCATAAAACCGAAGCGTAATTAATAACTGCAACATGGGTGAGATGCAATGGTTTCTGAAACAAATAAAAACGAGTTTACCTACCTATATTACGCGTACCTGAAGATGGGTAAGTATTAGGTAGGTAAGCCACCAGATAGATTATTGATTGTGTAAACGATTGAAACTTACCTTTCTGTTTCGTGCTTGATTTTGTCTTCAATAAGGGCTAGTAAAAATTGTACTGACTCCTTTAAAAGTCTGAATCGGCGATGAAATTCTTCTGAATTCCACTGGGTATAATGATCGGCTCTCGGTTTGACGATTCTCACTTTTCTTTCAGTTGGATTTAAATATTCATTCATTATGCCCTCTTCTTCGATTGCCAAGTCATCAACGGAATCGAAAATATCCATGATTATCGCTCTTCGATAATTGTAAAGTGACTAACCTAACGTAATTGTTAAAATAACCTCAAACAAAATCACTGTCAATGTCAAACTATTCGTCGAATAACGCGGTTATCTGATGGTTGAAGCGGCAGATAGATTTATCCCTCAGTTAGCAGAGTTATTCGACAGTTAAGTCTTATCCAACTGTTGAAAAACTCGAAACCTTGCTATCTATCGAATAAAAGCTATCTATCTGTTTATCTGAAGATTGAACAATCGGCCCTTAGGCAAATGCTACGAGCATTCGTTATAGTTACTAACATTCGCCCCGCCGGGATTCGATCCCAGGATCTCTGAGTAGGCGAATCCTGGAGCTTGAATAGATTTACACACCACTGCACAACGGATATCGTCATTGCATTCCTACGCTAGCAAATAACCATTAGCTTTCTAAATCGATAGGAGAATTGGCTGATAACGTGCTACTAGGTGAGCATGTAAGTGGATATTTTGATGTGAGAGATGTGGCAGATGTAGCCGGGACCGACGCGACCAACGCTTAATTAACTTTACAAAATGCAAATCCATTGTGAAAATTGCTTAACTTCCCTATCTCAAACCAATCACGAATCAATGCTTCCATCGAACTCCTCGAGAAGAATTTTGTAGGCCTTCCATAATTCCCTAAAAAGATTGTAATTAAACAACACTGAGAGTTTAAATAGAATCGGACCTTCTGACTGACAATGGTTGCGCGGTGGTGCCCGCGACGATACCCATCGTGGTTGCGTTGCTCGACACTTGCCCGATTGTCATCAGCACGTGACGCGACGCTCTTCACACGTCCACTGTTGCCACACTGTCACAACCTGCCGGGTATTTGCTGCTAGCTCACGCATGCGAAGGAGGATGACCTACTTTATCTCCCCTTTAGAATAAACCTCTTCACCTTGCGGCATTGATTGCAGACGTTTTGTAAGAGATGCCTACAGCTTATCTCCTTTTAAGAATAAACCTCTTCACCTCCAGTAGTCTCCTTTTATTACCTTATTAGCGGCCCGCCCTCGCTTCGCTTCGGTGTAGAGCTGAAGTGTAGACTACAGTTTTTGTTCTCAGGCTTGTATTATACACAATGACATTCATCTATGATTCTTCTTATACCTGCATGCAAAGTCTCAGCCCGATCGTTTTAAAATTGACAAAGTTTCATACAAACTTTCATTCCCTATTTTATCCCCTTGGGGGTAGAACTGATCAAAATCCTTTCTTAGTGGATGCCTACGTCATAACATCTACCTGTATGCCAAATTTCAGCCCGATCCGTGCAGTGGTTTGGGCTGTGTGTTGATATATCACTATGTCAGTCAGTCACCATTGAGTTTTATATATGTAGATAGCAGGTTTTAACGTCGTCTGCTTTTAAATATATATGTATATACAGAGAGAGAACCATTTTACATATAGTCCTGTTATATTTTTTTCACTTTTAGTCTTCCCCTAGCCACATGTAGCTGTGCCACCTGATACCTAAAATTTGATCCACGGTACAAGTAAGCGAGTTTATATTTATGATGATTCATATTTCGTCCATCAGAAAATAAGTATGAGACTCTTTAAAGTTGGGTGGGAGGTTTTTACGCTGTTTCTATAAAGGATAATTATGGACTCTTTGGATCACGTGGTTCTCAAGAAAGCATACCATTGCAGATTAATTTGGCAAGATGGAAAAGTGTTATTTGATTACCTTTCTTTCAGGTCCCTTATTTAGAAACAATCAACAATACTGTTGCATATTTGAAAGTCAAAAAAGAGAAAGCATAGAAATAGAAATCGAGTCATACCTAGCGAAAGTATGTGATTATGTATGAAGATTAGTCGCGTAGTAAATGATGGCGCGTCGTAATTTCTCCTGCAATAAGACTTAAAATATAAAAAACATTAATTGATGGTTTTTTGCTTAATGTTCTATGTTTTTCGTGGTATACAATAAAGAGTTTTTGTATTGTATAAATTAAATTTTAATATGTGTGGTGGTGAGGCATGATGTCTCATTCAAAATGGGATCTGCATTATCAAAACTTATTTATATTTTTGTGGCAATAATACCTATTCGTTAAGTTCTGGGTCACGCAGCGCTGATTTTTAGTAAAGAGTGATTTTTTAATAATTTTTTATTTTCAAGATTATTTATGCAATTTCGATTGCCAAACGATTTGATGAGAAACTTATTAAGAAGGGTTTAAACTCCTTTAAACATGGGGTTTTCATCTTAGCTATTTTTTGTATAACGATTGATTGTAGAATTTATTGTACCAAGTATAAGTTTGCTCCGGTTCGATTTCAGCGTAGGATATTGCGATGAAGGCGCGCGGTGCGGCGCGGCGCAGGCGCGGGGTGATTTACGGATGCGCGTGCGCCGATCAGCGATATGATATAATTACGGCGCCGGCATTACCATAGCGAGGGCCGCTATTATAATATTAGCCCGAGCCCGATCTCACCAGCTTGTGCAAATAAAAAAAAACAGCAAGCCGCACGCACGAACCAGATTATGATGCTATAACGATGATCACGCGGTTTAATGTAGTGCTAATTAAAATTTATTCCTGGTTGTGTCCCATCAGTTTCATCAAGATCTTTTTTTAGCTATCCTAATGCGAAATTGGGAAAAATTTATTATAACCACGAATCTAATTTCTTGAAAGCGCCGTAACCATTCATTCGCTTATACCTAAAAAAAGAATATAAATAACTTTTAATTAGTCCCTAACCTAGATACGGGGCTGCCGTTTGCGGCGGTTAACCTTCTAATTCCTTCCGAGCCATTTAAGAAACATAAAAGCGAATGAAATTCGCAATTCGCCCGTCGTCAGTACGCTGGTGGCTGGCTGAAGCGGCGTCCGTCGCTCAGCACCGCCAATCTCCCGCTGGCATGCCGCCAGAACCGCAGATTAAACTTAAAACTGTTACATCGCAGCCACCTGTGACTCTAGCATATTGTTGTGATCGTTATTGATTTTATTTGTAATTAAATAATATATCATTCTTCCTTTAAACTCTCCGATCGTATGGACCCAATTGAACCCGTGCCTTAGTCCCCTAAATAGTTGGACAATTGAGTGATTGAGAGTGAGCTAAGCTAAAAACCCGACTGCAACCCACCGAGGTAGCGTTGCAGTCGGGTTGAAGTATTAACAATGAGGTTAGTATTTGTACCTAACCTCACTATTACAGACATCGTAAGGCGAGCTACATCCCCAAAATATTGGAGGCAAACGCGCAAACACTAACCAAAAAAACATGCAAGGCCTGTGTTCCCGTTATGGGGACGTTTTATAAAGGCCTTCTGATGATGCTCATATTATTTCCATGCTAGCTAGGGAGTGATTTTTTATTTCAAGAAAATCTATTAACGTATGGTCTCAGTTTCAGAAGCTATCGTCGGTAACTTGGCGCTGCTCAATTATCATGTCATTTAAACCTTTCCTGTCGTTCAACACTGCAAAGAGTATTTTAACATACAGCTAATATTTATAAGTCTCAAAATAATATGATACCTAGTTTATTTATTTATTTATTCAAACACATAACACTATTATAACAAGTAGTATTATTCGAGTGCAGTAACATGCAATAACTTTTATGTCCAGACCTGGAACCAAAACCTGTGCGCCCAGCGATCGATCTTTCATAACATTGCAAAACTTCTGATTTAATATAATGATCCAATTACAGATAGTCTTTAACATTCGTAATTTCATTTCTTCGATCAATCTACTCGCATTTTATAGTTAATTTGTGACAGTCATACAAACTATTCACTCTAAGAGGTTTTTCATGCAGCGTTTAAGATTAATATGCCAGGTTTGTGCGGAATAAATTGTCGTTTTATGTAATACGTTAATGCGAAATCAGCGACAGCAAAAACTCCCATCGCCCATTCTAAAATGTTTATGCAGAGATAATAGCGACTATGTATGAGTTTAGCGACGCACATAACAAACCGTTTCGTATGAATCGTGTAAAAAAAAACGCAAAGAACTGCGTTGTCGTCGGCCGGCCGCGCGTTTCATATTCATATCGCGTATTTACATTTAATCTGCGCTCGACGTATTGAGAACGGACTAAAATTCAACACCAGATTCGTAAAAAATGGTAAGTATGTAAAGTCGCTGGACAATGTTATCATATAGCAGGCAAGGTTGGGCCGTGCCGTCGGTGTCGCTCGTATTGTGAGGGCGGTAAGGGTTATGTTGGTTTGTTGTGTTGCGGGTGGCGCGCGGCCCGCGAGTGGCCGTGGAGCGTTTGTAATGCTGCGCGCGCGACGCACACCTGCGCGCCGCGTGACCGGCATAGCGCCGAGACGCGCAACTTCCACTGTCGATTCCTCAAATCAATTTAACGTGTCATTTGTCAGTCACAATTCGGTTCTACGACATAAACGCTCTTTCTAAGAACTGTGAGCTGATTTTATTCACGTACCTCTATTTGGGGGACGTTTATTAAGCTACTTGTAGAGTTATGCATTTGTATTCATTGATGAATATCTCTTCATACGCAATATCTTGGTATTGTCCTTTAATGTAATTATATCAAAGTTTAATATGTTTTTTTTAATAATGTATACCGCACCCTCTGTTGTATGGTGTGTAATTTTTTAACTTTCGAAGAATGTGTGCAACATCAGTAAATCCACTTTTTAGCAAATTTGTTGAATTTTTTTATAAACTAATTTGACTAATTAATCCATCTTTTTGCTGTTCCACCACTGTGTCATTAGTATTGTAGAAACGCGCTATTGAATTAAATAACTTTTTGAAAATATGAGTGATTTGCGTGTTTACTACTCTAGTGTAGGCACGGTGGTTTGTGAATACGCGTCAGAGATGCGCGGACGCAGGAGTTAATATAAAGTATATCACATGATTTGGCCAGCTTACCGGTTGCCTGACCGGACGTTGTTACTCCCGACCTTCGCTTCCGGACAATGAACCCATTACTTAATTTGCTCCGGCATTTGACTACTGCACCACCATGTTTTAGCAATCTCGTGGTTCAAACTAATGTACATCCGCTTGCATTTGACTAATGTATCATCATGGATTAGCAATGTGAGATCAAAGCTAATAATTAAGTTGTCATGCATTTAGTTGAGGGCCTACTTGGCACAGTAGCTTGTGCATAGGGTTTCATAGCGTCGCTATCTCCAAGGTACAGTCTAACACAGTAATTAACAGCGACGAATTCATAAAGTGTTTAAATAGGAGATAGCATTATTTTTTCTTTCGTCCCACTATATTTCTAACTAGCGGCCCGCCCTCGCTTCGCTTCGGTGTAGAGCTGCAGTGTAGACTACAGTTTTTGTTCTCAGGTTTGTATTATATATAATGACATTCATCTATGATTTTTCATATACCTGCATGCAAAGTCTCAGTCAGTCTCATTCCATTCCCTATTTTATCCTCTTGGAGGTAGAATTGATCAAAACCCTTTCTTAGCGGATGCCTACCTCATAACATCTACCTGCATGCCAAATTTCAGCCCGATCCGTCCAGTGGTTTGGGCTGTGCGTTCATAGATCACCCGTTCATAGATGTCAGTCAGTCCCCTTTGAGTTTTATATATATAGATATCATATTAAACTTCGTGAAACAAAACCAGAAGCTCAATAACAGCATTTTCGAAAGCTTTGTTTCTGCAGAAGTGATAGACTCCACTGCGCCAGGATATAAGGGTAGCCAACGGACCGACATGCAGTAATCACTAATGTAGCTCATATTTCTGTCTAGTATCTTCGCATACGATTCAGATGCGATGGAGACCCATCTGTTAGATGACACCCCTCAGTTCAAAATCCCCTCAGTTTTATACAGTCCATAGTACTGGTCCTCTTTAAAAGAAGCTTAAATAGAGTGTTCCACTAAAGGATCTGCGGCCACTAAAGGAAGCGGCGTGGCTGTCACTGGCACTGCTGATGACCATGGGTGACAGTAACCACTTAACATGAGGTGGCCCGTCCGCTCGTCTGCCTTTGGAGGCAATAAAATAAAATTGTGTGTGTCAGCTCCGACGCACGACCGGAGTTTACACTCTAAAAACGATTGTCTTTGAACAGACACAAAACAAAATCAAGTCCGAAGAAGTCGGTTACAAGTAGAGATACCTTAGGAATCGTCCCATGGTTTCGACTATAGGTTCCATGTCACACATTTTATCATCTAACATCAGCGATATTCATCATATATTTTATTATGTATTTCTGGAAACACAAAAATTCAAAAATATCACACACTAGTCATCATTTTGTAAATATGTATTATAATTCCAGCTGTAGTGAAAATCACTATTCCAGAGTGCTGGACACTTACTATTTGTTTTCATTAATTTTGCTCCGATTTTATCTATTTTTAGTTTATTTATTTTATTGACATTTGTGACAACTTAATGTTTTTTATCCGTTGCCATGGCTAAAAGTGAAAGGTGCGCAGATGAGGTTGCGCACAAAAACGTAACGAGGTCATTAATGTCATTCATTCATCGATAGATTTTACTCCTCACATTTTTCTCATACCGGGCCCCTTATATATGCAAATCGATTCTTAAGGAGTAAACTCCAAAAATGTGCATTATCTATTCACACTGTATCGTTATTATTTGTAAATAAACACCTTCGATTGTGAATTGAATCATGTTCTGTGGTGGTTTCGGTGTTTCGAATGCTCAGCAGGCCTCGACGGTGGCTTGTTTACCGGCGTGTTAGTGACCTTCCCCCCCCCCCTGCTTCTTGTCCTCTTATCTTGAACAATGTGTACGGATCGGAAGCCAGATTGCGCGCACACAATGAGCTGTCGATGGTCGATTATTATTAATGAGAGGTAACGCTCTCCATACCTGATTGCAGTGCGTCACCTCAGCTATATGAATGTGGTGTGACCACAGCTTTGGGTTTTGAAGTGAAACTTATTTTCGGAAGATGCAAATCAAAAAAAATAATAAAACAAAATATATTTATTCAGCAATACAAAATTTTAACTTAGCTATTAAAGTAACTTTAAACATTTTTACTGAATATTCTTACAAGTTACACATATGTTTATAAAAAAATCCTCGAATTATAATTACTTTATGTGTATATGTGAGTGTGAGTCTATGTGTGTGCGAGTGTGGATGTGTGTGTGTGTGAGTGTATGTATATGCACGCATGGGTGTGTCAAATGGAAAAATCCTATGAAAATATCCGCTGCCTGGTCCGCGTGGATTTTTTTCTAGTAAACTTTTCTTTAGATTTAAACATCTAGCAGTTAAATGGTTAAAAATAAATAAAAGCATAACCATAGATTACATTTTAATAATAAAGTAGTAAAAAGCAGACTCATCTCTGCTGGCAGCACCTTTTCACGATCATTGGACATGCTTCGCTCAACCATATTTTAGGTTAAACCATATTCTTGTATGTTACTGCACCGTAGCCACAGCGGTGGCACTCTCTGTACGTGAGAGTTCCAGCGTCAGTGACCTTGAGCAGGAGCGTGTATGCGCTAGGGTTGACCTTGGAATTTAGACTTGTGCCAATGAATATTTATGCATAGTAAATTATTAAATGTAAACTGATCAAGGATACTGGGGTAAGTAATGAAGGATAGGTTTGATTTTATAATCAATTTTTAATCTTTTAATGTAGGTACTATAACAAATTGCTAACTCTTATAAATATATTTTTTCCTTTTTCGATTCGTTTTATAATTCTTATTATTATCTAAATAATAATAAGATTGCGTAGCGTAGTCAGTCTGTGCGTGCAATGCAGTGCAACGCTATTATTTTACTATTTCGCTACTGCCATGCCTTCCGTCGAGGCAGTCGGCGACTGCCCTCTCCACGCCCCGCGCGCCGCGCAACGCCCCCGCGCACCTCCAGACACCCACACATAGCCGCGGGCGATTTTACGAGCACACATGCTTAAGTGTCGCTTCTTTTCGCGTA